CTCTGTGTGTGGGTTGACGCAAGCTCTCTTGCAACCGGCGTATCGATAGTTCACGATGGAGCCGTAGTAGAAGATGCTTGCTGGTTACGTCCAGAAAGGACTCCCAGCACATAAACCTAGCGGAGCTCGATGCTGTCATCAAGGGGATCAACTTGGCGATCCTCTGAAGTCGACCACCCTGCGTCTGTTCACTGATTCCGCTTGCGTTTATAAGTGGATCTCTGATACCTTGACCGGGAGGGCCAGGGTGCGGACTAAAGCCACCAGCGAGATGCTTATCCGACGACGGCTCGACACGATCGTGAATTTAGTGCAAGAGTACGCACTGACAATGGAGGTGTCCCTGGTCAAATCTAGCCTCAACAAAGCAGATTGTTTAACGAGGGTGCCGCAAAGGTGGCTTGACGCCGCTAAGAAAGCCATTGAGCCCGTGCAACCAGCCTGCGCTGCGTCCGTGAGTCCCGTTCGATTTAATCAAATCAAAGAAGTCCACCAACAAAGTGGGCACCCTGGAGTCAAGCGGACACTGTATTTCGCCAAGTTGGTTGACCCAGGAGTACAAAAAGACAGACGTCAGGAGAGTGGTCAGAAGCTGCGTGGCGTGCCAGTCTATAGACCCAGCACCCGTTCGCTGGAAGAAAGGGCAGCTGAGCGTGAGGAACCACTGGAGCCGGCTGGCGATAGATGTTACTCACCACAACGGCGAGCATTTCCTGACACTCATTGATTGTGGTCCATCCAGGTTTGCGATATGGCGACTGCTGCGTCGGCAAGATGCAGCCACTATCATCCGTCAGTTAAACAGCATCTTTCTTGAACGTGGCCCCCAACGGAGATATTAACCGACAATGGCACCGCATTCACCAGCGAGCAGTTCGAGAAGTTTGCGGATGGCTGGGGAGTGCACTTACGGTTCCGGTGCGCCCACGTACCGAGTGGAAATGGAATCATCGAGCGGAACCACAGGACCGTCAAGACCATCGCAGCCAGAACGGGCTGCACGGTGTCTGAGGCGGTCTACTTATACAACGTGACCCCGAAGGATGATGTCTCACCCTCTACGGCGCCAGCAGACACATTGCATAGGTACCACGTTAGAGTGAAGGGCATAGAAACCAACCCACTGACGGAACTGAAAGTAACCGGAGAGAGGCTGAAGAAAGGCGATGTCGTCTGGATTAAAAATCCGCACAGCAAGTGCACCACGAAATACGGAATCGGACGCGTCACTGAGGTGATCAGCCCACAGGCGGTACGGGTCGACGGTGTGCCCCGTCACGTTAAGGACCTGCGTCCGTCGACGCAGTTGCAACCACCGCTGGACGATGAGAGCGAATCGGAATCTGAGACCAGTGAGGCATCGCTCTGGTTCACGCCAGCCCCATCAGGCAGTGACTCGGATATCAGTAGCCTTCCAAGGGACGCGGTGTCTTTCGACCCTCAGACCTCAGACAGGAGCACAAGCAACGATGAGGCTCGCAGCGTCCCTCTTCGAAGAAGTACCCGGCGCAAGCGATCACCACCTCCCTGTCAACTCTGTGATCATGAGATCAGGGGGGAGTGTGGGGAAAATAGAAACGGCCTACCTCGCAAACGTTCTCGCATCTTCCTGGCCTGTGGGTTGAGAAAGGAAAGAAAAGATTCAAAATGGCGTCCGTGACTTTTAATATTCACGGTCTCGTGCAGTCACGCAAAGTCGCGTTACACACATGCTAATGAGGTGTGTCTGGGCTCCATAAATGCGGGTTGCTTGGAGACATTGGCAGACCAACATTTCACCCGTGCTTGGTGTACATCGTTTTGCGTTGCAGACATTTTCAGACGGAAAGAGTTGCGTCCCTTACACTGTTTAAGTCGACTCATTTGCTACAATATATATAGTGAACTCTTCTATCGTGATCTATGAATGAGGGTCAGCATTGGATGGTACCTTTCGTTTTACACTTATGCATGCTAGCAGAGGCTATTGTGGAAAACATCAGTTAAAGGAAAAACATATATCATTTGTGATTTCTTAAGTGTGATATAAGCCCAGCCTTGCTGCGGGCGACAAAGCCACACTGACGGATGAAATTTATTAAAGCAGGATTTTGATGGCGTCTCTGCTTCAGAGCTTGACGAAACTGATCACGCTGCTTCAGTCTACTGTCTTCAAAACCCTTCAAAACAATGAAATATATCTTACCCCACTCCTTTTGATTTGATGCTTGGCCTTCCCAGGTTTTCAGATCAAAGCTGAGACGTTTCAAGTTGTCTTTCAATTTGTCTTTGTAGCGTAAGAGTTGACGTTCAGCTAAACCCTTGGAGTTTGGTTGTTGTCCATACAGAACCTTTTTTTTTGAAAGCCTATGCTCATCCACTCTCACAACATGACCAGCCCACCTAAGTTATATCTTTGCTAGAATGGCTTCAATGCTGGTCATGTTACATTTTTTCAATATTGCATTATTCTTGACCCTGTCATCCCATTTTATTTCACATATGGCACGAAGACTATATATATATATATATATATATATATATATATATATATTTAAAAATGGACAAAGTCCGACAATTTATTTTATTAAAGACATTTTTATGTTTAACGTTCTTTGAATGTCCGAGAAATTTTCATAGAAACCTGTCAAAGGACGAATATTTTCTATGAAAATTTCTCGGACATTCAGGCCGGTAAATGTTATTTAATACTGTTTATTATAAACAGAGCATTTACTTAAATACTTGTATCTATAAAAAGAACGTTAAACATAAAAATGTCTTTAATATATATATATATATATATATATATATATATGTGTGTGTGTGTGTGTATAAAGAAAGAAAGAACAGTAAGATATATAATCCGGTGTTCTTAGTGATATTTTATTTTTACAAAATAGTGCTCAATGTAAATTTACAGAGCATTAATATTATAAATTAACTGATTTAAAATATGTTTTTCGCTACACAGTAATAACCATGTTTAAAAATGGAAGCTATATATATATATATATATATATATATATATATATATATATAAAATAAAAAAAAAGCAGACATCCACTCTCTCGAATTTGGACATTGGATGTGATAACGTAATTTAATTTGATTTATGGTGACCACTTATTCTCACAGATCTCAACGCATTTTTCCTCAAATACAATTTTGTCCTTCTTTCTTTCTAACCTGAGGAAACCAAAGAGAGGTGATGCTCTAGGCTAAACGCGTCGTTTATAATTTTTCCATTTTGTCTCGTCATCTTTGCTTCGGTAATATTATACATTCTACAAACACAAACACACATTAACATCGAACTCATAAAAAAGTACGATTTACCTATTATTCTGAGCAGACACACACACAGACATATATATATGTGTGTGTGTGTGTGAGGAGGCACGGTGGAGTTAATGGATAGCGGCTTGGATTGAAGAACTGAGTTCCAATTACAGTCGAATCCAGTACAATCACTTAGGTGCTAATACAACTGGGAAAGGTGTGAATCCTCTTCTTCTCCCTCAAGCTATGGGTAAATAGCAGGACAGACTGGATTCTATAGCCTTGGATGGCAACTAGTCAAGGAGAAGGACAACTTTGAATTCAAACCCGGAGTGGAGCCCCTAAGACGGATGGACGGCACTTTGTGCGACCTTCTGCAGCCGCGTTGGTACCAAACTGTATGGTTTATCCTCTCCTTTGGACTCTGCTAGCAAGACCGAGGCGGGGGAACTAGACGTCTGGGCAGCCCAAGTTCTCCATATATCCCGCGCTACTTCATCGTCTCTCGAGACGGACGGATGCCGACGACGACAACGACGATATTTAAATATATATATGTGTGTGTGTGTGTGTGTGTGTGTGTGTGTGTGTGTGTGTGTGTAGAAAAAAAAAGAGATCGCCAGATTGCAATTGAAAGATATATAGATATGAGCCAGACTGCGATAGATAGATAGATAGATAACATTTCTCAGCATTATCCACTTCTATTCGAACATTTACTTCATAGTCAAGCTGAAAACTTTTCTTCATTTTCTCGTATCCGTATGAAAATTTAACAGATTAGCTAGCAGTTTCCATCTTTACTTCATAGTCACTTAAAACATCACTCTAGATTTCTCTTTATGGCATTCTGCCACAGAATAAGTCTATGGAAACGGAAATAGAACAACAGAAGCAGCAACAACGATTAATAACATTGGAATTACAAGTAATTATTACCCTTTTTTGTGTTGCCTCTTTATTTCTTCCTTTCTTTCTTCAAAATTTTAATCAAGTGATCGAAATGAATTATGTCCATCAGAATTAATGACGGACATGATTCCAATAATCTATTTCCGGAAGCATGCATTGAATGTTAATTTAAATCCATATGACGGTTAATTAATTCCAAAGAAACGTCATTTTCTATAGGTGAATCTTTCAGGAAAAAAAGAAAGCAAAATATTCTTCCAATTAAAAGTTCTTTTCGATTTTTTAAAAAATTATCTATCTGATTTTAGCTGCTTTCTCGGAACACTACGCGGACTACTGGTCAGAACGTTCGATTTTCGACCATGAAACCCTGGTTCGAATCTCACCATGGTCGATTTGTCAGGTGACATCTTGATATTATCTACATGTAGAGGCGATCCCACTGGAGGAGGCTATCCTATCCGCAGGTGTATAATATCAGGGCTAGTGTATTGCGAATTGAATCTGGATTATATTGTAGCTATTGGTCAGGCCACTTGATGTCACAGTACAGTGTGGAGCTGTGGCTACACTTTCTGATAACTAAACTAGATAGTGTAATCATACTGTTTGTTGTTGCTCTTTCGATATCTTCATTCTTAATATTTCATTCATACTCGATTATATCAATTTCTAAAACAAAGAAACGGAAACACAGATCTAGTAAAGCATTCCTACTTTTCTATCTCTTATCCCAATATAAGGGGGTCTATGTGCGAACTTTCCAGAAACTGAAATGTATCTTCAAGTGGTCAAAACCGGACTTAATGTTTACTTCGGAAACTTGCTTACGGCCATATCACGTTGAATCACCGGTTAGCGTACGATCACAGATACTAAACAACGTCGAGCTTAGTTAGTACCTAGATGTGTGATCGCTTGGGCATAGCAGGGGCTGTAAGCTTGAATGTGCGTGTAGGGTAATTGGCTCAGAATTGGAAATCAATAAGCCCACTTCCAATTCCAGGCAGGTTATATTCACATTCGCGCAAATACCATTAGCTATGATTTAATTAGTAAGGCTTGGATCAGTTACTCATTATTATTTCCAAAGCTTTCTTACAATCTAAAAATATTTTCTGGTTTTAAATAACTTACAAAGGATTGATAAGCCGTAAAAAACAAAAGAATGAATCAATCTTTCTGAAACTGGTCTCAATGCATCTATTACTGTGCAAGAATTCCCATTCCCTGGCTGCTCTCCTTTAATTCCTAAATAAAACCCACTGAATCGCTATAGGCTTGTGGTCTGTGTCGAAGATGGGATCCCAGGTAGCAGAGACTCTACAATCGAAGACTCTCACTTTCTATTCATGTGTTTTCGTGTGACCTTTAAAAAGAATTTCATCTATGAAGATGATGGAATTTTGCTGCTTGATCGAATAGGTGAAAAGATTGATGTAATCTTTTCTAGGGAAAGCGGTGGAACTCATTTTATCATTCCGTGAAAAGCTAGCCGGTTTTCGAGACCTCGGGTTGATTGTGCGTTACTCTGATAGGGTTATGAACTCTATAAGAAATTTGACATTTCACAAACTACAATGCGAAAACGTACAAAAAAATCAAGACGGCCTGACGACTTCATTGTGCTGGAATCCATCAATCAATTGTCACCTTTTGAATAAAGTTATGCACATATCAGTATATTCTTTCCAGTCTTCGATTGATTTTATACGTAATTTTTTTCTCGGTAAATTCCTCCGTAATATTTCGTGGCATTATAGAGTTGTGGTAAGAGCCAGTTACCCTTATTACTATCATGAATCGATTGATCAATACTTTGTAAGTTATTTAAAGCCAGAAAATATTTTTAGATTGTAAGAATGCTTTAGAAATAATGAGTAACTGATCCAAGCCTTATTAATTAACCGATAGTTAAGGATATTTGCGTGTATGTGAAAATAATCTGGCTGGAATCGATTTTCAATTCCGAGCTGTAGTGGTTTTCCAAGGGTAGCTCAGATGTGGCACAAGGCCGAAAGTATGGGGTACCCAGTGAGGATCGAACTCACTACTCATAATTGTTCTAGCGAGACAAGCTCGCTAACCATTACACCACGTCGAGGTGACCAAATTCCGAGCTGTAATCTGTTACCCCAACTGGAGCTGTGAAATTGTCTAGAAAAAAAAATAATACTGTCGCAGTGATTTTCTAGCTGATTTTTTAATATTACTATCAAGTTTGACTCTGTCGACTTAAGTGTTGTGTCTTACCAGATTCCACATCACAATAGAGAGGAAGCATGTGATTCCTCTTTTGAGGAAACTACTGATAATGTCTCAACAACCAACATCGAGCGTACATTTCCTGTCATCAACATTTCTCTAGAAAGCAGAATTTAACTGCCTGTACAACATACTGCTAAAACCTGTAACGCTTCCAGTGACCAGCGCTTCTTGCGTAAGGAGCTTCTTAATAGTGAAAACATTTCTGCGAAATTCCATGAGCAACATTCCAACGTTATTAATTGGAATTTTATGAGCTGGGAAAGTTAACTGAGGATTCTTTGTTGAAGAATTTGATAGCCTCCATGATAATCGCAGAATTAAAATGCATTTAATCTGTGGAGATTATTTGTTGAATACCTTCTCATTGCTACTGCTACTAACACTACTCTTTGGGAAAATTTTATTTAATAAAGTATCATAACTATATTTTTTTTTAATATTTCTGACAATCTTAGAAATTTGCAAGGATTCTCTTGATATGTAATTTGATTTTTCCTCCTCTTTCACGCACATACACACATACATATATATAATATTCACCAACATTAAGTGTCCCCAAGTCTTTCTATTTGCTTGAAACGCTATTGTAAACAACTTAACCAGCCTAAATGATTTGTGTGGAGAAATATTAGGTTGAGTTATGAATCATTTCTGTTTTTTGTTTATCAATTGTTTTGCATCAAAAAATAAAGTACAGTTACATTTTATCCTATTATATATAATCACAATTATTTGCAGTGGCTTGTTGCCACTTATCAGGCAAGTCTTCGAAATATTTTGAGTAAAATTCCGCAGGTTTTGATGTGAAAATTCTTTCGTCAAACACTTGAATCTTGTTTTCATTAGAGAAATGTTTACCCGTCGAAGCCTTTTGCAGCGAGCGAAAAAGGTAATAAACGGTTGATGCAAGGTCATGTGAATATGGTGGATGGGATAGAACAGACCAACCGAGTTCGAAAAGATTTTCCTGTAAAAGAGTTGCGATGAAAAAAAAATATCTGCATTCCTTCTGTTATAGGCATTACTATACCTATGATATAGTAATTCATTTATACACGGACGAAACGGGATAACAGAAAGTAAAGTAATAATAAACATGCTTTTTTATACCGCTAAATCATACCCAAAATTATATACAAACATTTACACTTGTCCCGCACAGAGAAAATATTAAAACATGTATACAACAACGCGTAGTGGGAAAATGCCCAAGAGAGATAGAGTCTTACTTGTAATAATTCCGAACTGGAATTCGCGCTGCTGGGAGATTTTTTATTTTTTTTTTTTTTTGCGAAGTCATATTTATATTTCTCAAGGGGAATACGCGTGGATCGGATTTATATTCTATGTCTCTGGTGAGGACATTTTCTCCAAAGGAAAAACGGCGCTATGGGTTTTTGAGCTGTCCCTTTTGTCAGCTCGTCCGAACATGCACATTTAGCCTGGGACCTAACGGGCAGATGTAGACTTTTACCGTACTAAAAAAAAGCAAACGCTCGATTTCGACTCCTGGAAGCTAATTAACGAACTGGCCTCTTTCGTCACTAAGCGACCGTCAAGTGACCCCGTTATCTCAACTAAAATGAGATAAATTGCATCTCTACACCTGTGTTATTCTTGCTTTTTTGTTGTCATTGAAGAGAACAACGTTTTCATTTTAATCCACTGTGTACGCTGCCACTGTTGTGTAAAACCTAAGATATGTCATTTTACTTCAAATTGATTCTTTACTGCCACTGGAATGAGTTCCAGAAACTGAAATTAATTATGACTCAACCGAATATATTTTCAGTAGAGGTTGCATATTTTTGATGTTGATAATAAAATAGACAAAGAGATGAAACAATCAACCACAATAATTGAACGTAGCAAGTTGTCATAGAATACAAGATAGAAACAATGCTGTGAAGGATCTACTGGGAACAGTGCAAATGATTCTTGAAACTTGACTAATGCATGGAATAATAATGCAACACAAAATGTACTTAGAACAAAATGTATTGAAACAAGAAAGTGTACACAATATTTACATATAGTCTTTTGTATATTCCTGGGAAGACCGTTCCTGGAGAATATGTTGACTTAGTCGCAGTCGGGCAGAGTCTCTGTTTGAATCTCTTGATTCCTCCCTCTTTTCCCGGTACCAACCATATTTATATGGTCAGTACTCCACTATGCAAATTAGGTGGATCCTACCACAACAATGATGTACATGCAAACTTGTATTATATCAACAGACAAAAAAATTCTCTGGGATCCTGAGATTCAACTGTGTAACTCAATGCAGAGCAGATTTATTTATTGAAAACAAAAAGAAGAATCTTCGTCGGATATCGAATGTCGCTGCTCCAATAAAACACTGAATAAAACTAAAAATATTGAACAGGAAAATGACAGTCGTGTCGGTCGTTGCTAGAACCCTTGGAGCAATTCTAAAAAGCTTCACGAAATAATTAGAAAAGTTAAAAACCCGAAAAAGAATCGAGACCATTAAAACAGCATTATTGAAAACATTTGAAATACTAAGAGTTCTGGTATTTTTAAATACTAAATGTTCATCCAATGCAAGTCCCAAAAGCCAGCCAAGGTAGAGTGTTAATGAATGAGGTTTTTGTATCGACTTAAGAGGAGGAAGTACCGTATATGACGGTATATAAGACGCACGAGTGTATAAAACGCACCCCAATTTCAGCAGAGAAAATTAGGAAAAAATTAATAATTAGTAAAATTATTAGTAAATGATTCGGCTTAGGCTATATTTATGAGGTATTATTTTGGTTAAAGAAGCCATGATTACAATTAAACGAAAAATAATAGGAAAAAAGAACACGAGCCTATAAACTTTATTATATCCAAAGGTAAAAAAAAAAAAAATAAGAATCAAGCAATTATTACAATTAAGCAAAACAGTACAGTAACAATTAAAATTTTATTCATCTTCGAATTCATAAAATTCGTTGTCTTCGTTATCAAAACTCTGATACTAATTTTCAATACTATCATCATCGTTAAATAATGCGTCATCTTCCGTTCCATTAAGAGCATTACTAATGCCACACTTTTTAAAATAGTTTACAATTTCTGGTCTAATATTATCCTAAGCTCTTTCACCTATTTGCAGACTTGTGCAATGCTAGGTCTTTTTATTCTTCCTGAAAGTGTAAGGTCGTGATCAGGCATTGCCATCCACGTGTTCCATTTCTCCTTCATGTTTAAGTCTAAGCTAATAGGCGTTGCCAGGTAGCTAATTTCGGCCGACTATCGCAAATTTTAAACTTACATATGGCATATAAGACGCAGGGGAAATTTAAAAGATATTGTTATTAAAAAAAAAGTGCGTCTCATATGCCGTCAAATACGGTAGCTGCAGATTCATAAAGTAACGGTTTTCAGGAAGATGTGATCAGAATGAAACTTCCTCCTTACTAATGGAATACGAAGGAAAAGGATGATTCGATTCTGTGTACGTGATATAACATGTTCTAGCTGTAAAGGTCTAAACTCGTTAGGCTAAAGATCGCAGTTGATCGGAACATTTATCATGGAAATAGAGACAGGCTTGTAAAGTTTCTGTGAAAAAGAAATTGTACAATAATCCACCACCCACAAGGGAATGTAAAAGGTTTTTAAATTTGTCAAGGCTGGAAATTGAGGATTAGGTAACTGTATCCCAGATATCATATTAATAATCCATTTTTGGTTCGATCTTATAGCATGCCAGGACGAGTTAAATACTTTCTGGGACGGCTCAAGGAACCTATTAAAGAGGTGCCATATGATGATTGTGCTTTTACTTCTCTTCGTTAGTTCACACGACCGTTACGCTCTGCCAATACCGCATAAATAATGGACTACTTTGTTTTGATCGCGTAGAAATAGGAAAAAAACGTTATTTGGTTTCAGTGAGAAAATGAAAGAAACAAATATATAAGTGGAGAGACAGAATTAAATTAAGCTGATAAGAACAGATACTACACTTTGGTCTTTGCCAAAAGGCCGAGGATCAGTGGCGACCGCGATAAAAGCGGTACTTTTCCGACGTACATTATCGTAAGACAGAAACTGAGTAAGGCAATCGCCAAAAATCCAGTTACAATAAATAAAATAATATCGTCTGCAGAATTATTTCTAAATTATTATTATTAAGAGAAATGGTCGTAAGATGGCTATTTGGTTAGGAACAATAAATGGCTAAACAGAGTCTGTAACCTTTCCACACTTCATTTTTATAATAATAATTCATGACAGATCTAACACAATTCTAAAGACGACGGCGATAATCTCTTCTCATTCTTTAAGTAAATTAATTATTAATGATATCATTAAGCAATCTGATATTCAGAAAGATCGGCTTATCCAGGCGATAACGGCGGACACGGAAGTGTTGTTGACAAAAAAAGGAAAAAAGGCAAATAATGGATGTAGCCGGGGAGCTTAACGATAGATCAATAGCCGCATCCTGCCAGAGAGTTAAAAAGACGTCAATGAATTTGAGAGTATCGCACTTAATCATGATAAAACTGGGAATGTAAGCGTAAATAAAGAAAAGATTTGTCAACTCGTGGATGTTGTTGCTCATATTAAAATCTGACGCGAGAACCGACAAATGTATCGTGATATATGGAGGAGGTCGTGCAATTGTAAACTAAAAAAGGATTTGTCAACTTGTGAATATTGTTGCATATAATGAAATTGAACAAAGTTTGAAAAAAAAAATGGTTAAACATCTGAACCTGACCCGATAGAGGATAAAATATTGTGGAATATGAAATTAAAAGTAGATCCAAAAACCATCAGAAAATTGGGAAGGATATTTGTAAATAAAAATGGTTAGTTTGAGGTTGTTGTTGTTGTTATATATAAGAAAAAGAAATAATCATCAAAACTAATTAAATCCCATTATTATTAAAATACACCTTTAAGTGCCGAATCTAGATGCGTCGTCAGTGTTATTGCTCCCATGTCACTAGAAGTTTCGGGTCTAAATAAACAACAGACTTCTTCGATGGGCGACCCGACCGAATATGATCAGTATTCGGCCCGCACCTAGAACACAAATTTGCCACTAGCTTAGGACGTGAATTATATAAGTTGCCCCAGCAGACAACAACCAATCAAGACTTCACTTGGGCTATTCGAAGTTATAGATTAGGTATGCATGGTTGTATAGATCTTCCTACATGCGGCTAAGATAGGGAGTTTTTTTGGAAGAATAGAAGAAAACAAACCAATAAATATACACACACACATATATATATATATATATATATATATATATATATATATATATATATATACACACAAACACACACACACATATATACACAAAAAAAAAACAACCAAAAAATAACGATTTATTATATTGGCTCGTCTTGCGACTTGTTCTTTCTCTACCTCCCCTTTTAACTAACTTATTTGTTTGGTCTTTCTTTTCTTTTTACTTTTTGATTCTTATTTACCTCAAGAAATGATAAAAAATATAACAATATGAAAATGAAAGTAGTACCAATAATTATCAGAAAACTGAGAACGACATTTGTAAATAAAGAAAATATGTCATCTCCTGGTTATAGTTCTTGTATATGATACAAAGAAAGGACAATGAAAAACTGGTTAAATCCCATAATCTGACGCGAAATGTAACAAAAAAATCTTGTGGAATACGAAAGTGAAACTATTTAAAATAATTCTCAGGAAAATGAGAACTTAATTGTAAATAATGAAAAGATTTATTAACACTAGGATGCTGTACATAATGAAAAGAAATATTGAAAATATCTGAATCAGATCAGAGACCTGATAACATGTTGTGGAATATTGAGAAATTTGTTGAAAGTAAAAAGTAGCTGCATTACAAATGTAAGGAAGGATCGAGGCCAGCAAACCACCGCCAGTATTATATTGACAAGCATTCGTATATTGAAAAGAATGCTGGCGATTTGAAGAGATTTCTTACTGTATCTTGATTTCTAACAAGAGTAACCAGTTCTTGCTGATACGAAACATAATCCGTGCATAAAGAAAACTGCGAAATGCAAAAATCACAAGGAAATTCGAAAACGAGGCATTGGACTGTTATATAGCAATAAAGTGTCGCTGCTGACACTTAAGTTTGAATATAAATCGCCAGTGAGCAAACACAGGCGATCCCATTATTGAATTAAGTACAACACGACCATAGAGAAAACACATATATGGGAGGTAGTAACGTGACGTCTAAACGATCGTTATTTCTAGTCTATCCTCTATTACTATTCAGATCTCCATTTCTACTCTATTCACTATTACTATACGGACCGCTATTCTCTACTCTGTTTACTATACTATTTCACTTTTCGGATCACTATACGGATTACTGTTCGGATTACTATTCGGTGGTTACTTGTCGAGCGAGTATTATCGAGCCAGTACTATTAGTGCGAGTGATATTCAAAGGCGTCTGACACCAGCATTGTTCAACGGAGTTACTATGGTGGTATCTGCGATTACAAAGTTTCTACTACAACGAGCATTACGAAAGTAACAACGAGTATTCGTTGACATCACAAAAGTGTTAAACAAGTGTTCGTTGACATCACAAAATGGACATAACATGAAAGAAGAAATGCCAAATATTACAAAAAAGAAGAATATAATAATGTAGAAGGTATTGTTATATAAAGAAAACGAAAACAATAAATGCCTTTGAGAAACGATTCATTGTCCAACTTGAAAATGCAGAACTATTAGCTGTAAGGCAATGAATGACATTGGGACTCTTCTCGTGAGTCTAAATACAGAATTAATCATCATCATTATTATCATCATCATCATCGTCAGTCCTATGACACGATATGGTTGTGATGTCTCTACGCAAATGAGTATTTGATCAGTCCCCTTCCACATATCTGAGTTGAAATCCGGCGAATGTGTTCATTCATGCGTAACGTGTCAAGTAGATCTGACGGAGCTCATCCATCATCAGATCAAATCACAGCCCATGTGCTTCATTTTTACGGCTCACCTTAGTCACAGATGCGTAGCCGTTGATTCCATCGAGGGAAGCATTCACACTGGTTGTTGATTTAAATCTAGGAAGCAATTCGTCCAGCGATATCGTGTCATCGCCGCAATGGTAAAAAACAGAGGTATAGAATTCCAGTCTACCCCATTGTGTTAGATGGTCTTTGACTCTAAAAGAAAGCTCATCCTCTTTTTGACAGGTCTTGTTTTAATCCTACTAGGATTGAAATTAATAAAGAAATGCAATAAAGAAAAAAGAATTTTTATCAAAAATTAAAACATTCTGTTCAGAAAAATATAACATTTTGGTCAAATGTTACGGAACGACTTCCATATTTTCTTACTATCTACTCCCTTATTTCTTTAAAGAAGGAATAATGTATAATATTTTATTATAATACATTTGTATTTCTTGATCTTTGTTTTGTATAAACAATGAAATGTTTTTCCACCATTTTCTTCCTAGTTTTTTATACATATTGTCTTTTAAAAATTACATTTCGGTCGAATTTCGCTTCGCTTTTGAATAGCTCTTACCTTCTTTGTTACTCATATATACCGTCTTTGAAAATAAAACATTATTCTCATATTGTTTACTTTCTTGTAAATAAGGAAATATTTTTATTTTCTTCTTTTTTATTCATTCCTCCGTCATTCTTTAATTCCTTCATTCTAGCCGCCAACCATATTTTCTCCATGTTGTATGTTTATTTTTGTTTTCAGTTCTTTCTTTCTTCCGCTATTTCTTTTCTTTCTTTCTTTCTTTCTTTCTTTCTTTCTTTTCTTTCGCTATTTCTTTTCTTTCGCTATTTCTTTCTTCCGCTATTTCTTTTCTTTCTTTCTTTCGCTATTTCTTTTCTTTCGCTATTTCTTTCTTCCGCTATTTCTTTTCTTTCGCTATTTCTTTCTTTCTTTCTTGAGCTATTTCTTTTCTTCTTTCTTTCGCTATTTCTTTTTTTCGCTATTTCTTTCTTCCGCTATTTCTTTCTTTCTTTCTTTCTTTCTTTCTTTCTTTCTTTCTTTCGCTATTTCTTTCTTCCGCTATTTCCTTCCTTTCTTTCTTTCTTTCTTTCTTTCGCTATTTCTTTCTTTCTCCAAGTTTATTTTTTATTTCTGTTTTTCTTCTCTTTACCTTTTTTTTTTTGTTCAACGTCGACCAAGACTGGGACAACAAAATAACCTTGCGTGAGGTCAATGATTCTGTGAATGCCACTGAGTACTCAGTAAACAGCGAAGACGAAACGCCACAAATCAATACTAGCGACCACCACATGCTGCAACAGTCCTAGCTTCCGTCTTCCTTCTGCCACAAATTTCCAGGTGACTGTTTCCTTCTGCTCCGTTCCTCTTCACTGCTTCTTGAAGAAAGTCTTTTTTTTTTTTCAAAAATGCACCATTCAGTGTTTTACTTAAAAAGAGCTGGCAGCCCGTTCTTCTTTCTTACAGCCATACTGGTTATTTGCGTCTTTTTAAACGACTCTTAATATGGAACCTTATAAATACGTAATTACATGCAAATAAATAGATTGGTAAATAGACAGATATCATATTGCATAAATGTTTGTTCATCGATATGCCTATGAATTAAACTTTTTTTTTTTTTTTTACATATTGTAGATTTAACAAATACTCGAAAAATCCTTATTTGCAGATACTTTCTTTGGCTACCAAGTCGGCATTTAAGATTCTGGTTGTGAATGATTGAAATAGGAAAGTGATATGTAAATATAGTTACCATCGTTGCTAAATAAAGCCACACTCGGCAGACAGAAAAAAACGTGTCTCGTCATCAAATATCGATGTCTGAAAGGGGTTGTTCATGAACTGGAAATGTCGCTAATATAAATATAGTTTTAAAACAATTTTTTTTTTTTAACAATAATAGGAAACGACTTTCCCAAAAGTGAAAAAACATATAACAAATACAATCTATGCACAAAAAGAATCAAGATGAGTTGCGCAAATATTTCCTTGGGAACCGGAAGTTCTTTCAGGCTTGCAAAATGTCCTAAAGTCTTTGTTTAGATATCTTTACACAAGAAAATCTATTTAATAGAAAAACGTGAAAGAAAAATTGGAGGGGTGAGTTGAAGAAAACCGAGTGAAAGTTTGATCCAAAATGGAGGTCATATATTATTAGGGCGTTCGGGAAATAATGTACGATTTTAGAATTAACTTTTATTGTCAATAACGAGATATATATATATATATATATATATATATATATATATATATATATATATATATATATATATATATATAAAAAAAGCAGACCAATTAAAGGTAACACTATAATTTATTTCACCAGAGCCCTTTTCAATTTTAATTTCATTTTTCGTTTCATTTCATTTTTGGAAGAGCTATCTGATGATCCGGCGTCCTTTAAAAGGGCTCTGGTGAAATAAATTATTATAATGGTACCTTAAAGTGGTCTGTTTTTCTTTTAAATATTAGCTCTGGATTTACATTGAGCTCTCAGAATTTCATCCTCCTTGGGATTACCCATACGGATTACCAAGTTCTTCATAACTGCTGTGGATGACTTTATATTGGCTCCTGAAATATCAATTTCAGTTGAGCTCTCTGGGGAGGAGGTGTGGGTTGGTAAACAGTAACTATTATAGCTATATAGCGAGACTCTTCGCAGATGCGAATTGAGTCACTGTCGGTCACTGGGCGTGTTTCTAAAAATAAAAAATCCTCTTTCATCCCTACCGTGCGCCGACGGCTTAATGGTTAGAATCTCCGACTGACACCAATTCAGTCGGGTTTCGATCCTAGCTAGAGGCAACCGGATGTCTAGCCACACTGATGAGCTGCGAAACAGTCTGTCTGTGGATGACGTTATATATATATATATATATATATATATATGTATGTATAAATGAGTGCGTCACACTTTTCAACTTTACTCATAGAAGCCGTAGCTCAACATATACCATTTTGGAATCAGGTCGACTTTGTGAGCAAATTAAAGACATTTCAAGCCAGATCCGGATCTGCAATCCTGAAATTTCGGATTTCCAAGTTTTCATTACTGCCATTGTTTTCGGCGACTTTTTACGTAATTTTTTGCGACAAATTTTGTTGTACTATAACAATTTTTATAACTTGGAAATAAATTCGGGAATAATCGATCTTTTGCAAGATCCAGCGAAAGTCACCCATGGAATAAAAGTAATTGTTTGTACGGAAAAAAAGGACCTACGAACATCAAATTGACTTTAAATTACATGGTGGCAGAAGAATTATCGTTGTGATATTTAAAAGCTAAGGTAAATATTAATGCAATACTTAAATGCAACAATTTGAGTTCTTCTGTAGTTGACTGTTGCCTATTGCATACGGGAGAAGTATACCTCACAAAAAAAAATCTCCGCCAGCAGAATTGCAATAAAGAAAAATAAACCAAAGCTGCATCGAGGAAAAAAACTCCCGCGCGAATGAAAACCCAGATGAAACGTCAACCGAAAGAGCTTCCAATACTGAGAATATCTAATAACTTAGGGGCTCTCAAACTCCAGAGGAGCTAGCTTAATTGCCGTCCATTAGTGGGGCTTTTAAGCTATTATAATAACATATACTATTAGGTTCTTTAGAAAATAATGATCGATGTTAGAATCAACTATTATTATTATCAATGACGATACACACACACACACACACACACACACACACATATATATATATATATATATATATATATATATATATATAAAGAAAGAACAGTAAGATATATAATCCAGTGTTCTTATAGATTTCTCTGTATCCTTGGAAACGTGAATTATGATTTTAGCTGTGTCTTTAAAACCCAGTAATTTTAAAAGTTACTCCAAAATTCGCTTGAGGATGAAATGGAACTAATGTCTTTAATTTAATTACAAAATTAAATTCGGAGCTTTCAGCTTCCATTTTTGAAACATGGTTAGAACTGTGTAGCGAAAAAAGACATATTTTAAATCAATTGATTTATAATATATATATATATATATATATATATATATATATATATATATATATATATATATATATATATAACGTAATTCATCGAGTCTAGAATAAACCTCAACAGAATGCAGAAAGCACTGGACGACCGTTTCGTCCAATATTTGGAACTCATCAGCAGTGCGCATCCACTACCGAGAATTGAAACCCGGACAGTTACATTGACAGGCAAACGTCATACCAACTGTACTTCGGTGACGAAGAGGAAGGCGAACTAGACTCGATATTGCGCCGCTCGTTCACAAATTCCGTGGTGGAACTCATCCAAGTTTCCTTTACCCATAGGATTGTGTCTCCGAAAGCCACGACTACTATCACCACCACGATAAACTACACCCGTGCCCTGGGTAAGACGATAAACTACGTCTAGCAGCAAGGCCTCTGCTCAGGAGGTTTTGAGGAGCGTGGAACACCTCTTAATTACTGGCGTTCCTAGGTCCAACTTGACTCAGGGTGGTAGCACCTGTTAGGGTCCTAGCTATGGGCAAATAGTTAACCCCAAAACTGGGGTAAAAACTGTATGAAAGTGTAAAAATAGGTTTTAATACCAGAAATACTTCGTAAAAAAAATTATTACCAGCAATAAATTTTTGCAGAGAAAAATTATTACTAGCAATACATTTTTGAAAAAAATATTACCAACAATGTTTTTAGAAAATAAATATTACTCGCAATACATTTTTGAAATAAAATATTACCAGCAATACATTTTTGAAGAAAAAATATTACCAGAAATAGATTTTGGACAAAACAAAATATTACCAGCAATAAAAATTTTGTCGGCATTAAATAACCCATTGAGGATGATATGCCGTAAAACAAAATAAACCAAAGCAATCTAAACCAAAGAATGCATAATCTATTCATACGAATCTATCCTAAAAATCTTGTCGGCATTAAATAACCCATTGAGGTGTTGATATGCCGTAAAACAAACCAAACCAACCAAAAGCAGATGAACGTCATCTACCATATTAATCTTTCAGAATCGTATATACCTTGCAGATCTGTAGAGACCAAAACCATAATATCCGATCCCAAGAGGATCATTCACCTTATCCTCTGTTAATTTTTGTAGCTTTTTGTAGAAGGGTTATAACCAAACTTCAACTCATGCAAAAAGTATATTTTTGTGAAACTATTATAATAATATATTAGAATACAATTAAAATATTTATTCTAAAATCGGACATCATTTTCCGAACAACATAATAAAAAAAGTGTCTTTTTAACTTGGCAGGGATTCATTGGGAGTTTTATATATGAAAATAGTTAGCAATTTACACTATTCACGTCTTTCGAACTGTTTTTCTCATCTTTATTGTCATAATCACGACGTTTCGATATTTGTACGCCTCAGGCCTTCTTCAGGTGATTTTTGTTGGACTTTCGAACCGGACCCTTTCGAAATTCCAACATATATCACCTGACGAAGGCCTGAGCGTACAACGGCCGAAACGTCGTGAATACAGCAATAAAGATGAGGACAACAATCAGATCAGTGTAAATAGTGTAAATAGTTACAATACCTCATCTCAGAGATATAGACAATAGTTGGCAATTTAATGGTGTGGCGAGTTTTACTATTACTAGATGTCCTTACGTTGTATCTTTGTGTCAGACTAAGTTAAGCTTTAGAAACATTAATTACATTAATTTCATTACTGATTATAAGGTTGACAGTCTCCTGCTGTTGTAGTCAATGGTGACGTCTTGTCTTCACCAGTAGAGATTCCTTCCGTTCGTTGAATACTCTTAACTGCTAAGTCAGCCATATTCATTCGATTATATGGCCACCGCGTCATCCGAAACCACGCCTTCTTTCCACCTAATCATTAAAAAATGTCTTAAGAAACAAAGAAAAAAGTGATGCACTGTTATGCAATGTCTAGTTATCTCCATGGCAGTAACTATTAGACAATTTTATCACATATTATAGATTTTCCAAGCGTAGCTTAGATGTGGCACAAGGCCGAAAGAATGGAGCACCCAGTGAGGATCGAACTCACTACTCAGTCGTAATTGTACTAGCAAGACAAGCTTGCTAACCATTACACAACCTCGAGGTGCCCATTTTGTCACAGATTAAGGGAAGACTTGGACTGACAAGTGTTGAGGATACCATCGCTTTCTTCCGCTATTTCTTTTCTTCTTTCTTTCTTTCTTTCTTTCTTTCTTTCTTTCTTTCTTTCTTTCTTTCTTTCGCTATTTCTTTTCTTTCTTTCGCTATTTCTTTCTTTCAGTAATATTTTCAATCAATTAATTTATAATATTAATGCTCTGTAAATTTACATTGAGCACTATTTTGTAAAAATAAAAATATCTATAAGAACACCGGATTATATATCTTACTGTTCTTTCTTTATGCGAGAAACAATTTTTTTTAAAAAAATGAATAGAAAATATAAATAAATTCTTACTACTAATAAAAATGAGATGAATTTTTTCTTGTAGACGTATTAAGGAAAGAATATCTGAAGAATTTGACACTGACAAGATATATCAAATTCAAGATAAGTATAGGAAAACAGGGAGAAATCTACTTGACAAGGTTGAGTAAATGGTTGTCGAAATAAATGACACATATATGATAAAACGCAGTTATAAAAGAAAAACTATTGATGCACGCAACAAAGGGAGGAAACTCTGAATAACCATGATCGCTCAAATCTTGAATAGACTTGACTGATAGAAAGAGAGGATATCTGACATTTATGCTAGTTACTAGTGATGGGTTAGAAGCAAATAAAAGAGTGAAGCGATGAAATGTAATTGCAACACTGATGTCAGAATAGTTTTCTGTTGGATTCCCAGCCATATTGGTCTCAGAGCAAACGAAAAAGCAGATACAGCTGCTAAAAGATCCTTAAACATCAACATTAGTGACATAAAAATACCCCATACAGATTACAAACCCCTAATCAACAACTTCATTACGACCAAACGGCAAGAGTCGTGGAACTCCTGCAAAAAATATAACAAACTCTACGAAATCAAACCAATCGTCAAAGAACGGATAGAAGCTAAAATTCCCAACAGGAAAATGTCAAGAAGAGAAGATGTAGTAATGACTAGACTTCAAACAGGCCACACCGTCGTCACCCAGTCACATCTGCTGAAAGGTGAAGAAGCCCCAATTTGCATTGCATGCCAGGAGCTCTACACAGTGAAACACTTACTAACAAACTGCATAGATCTTGAACAAATACGACTAAGATACTATCAAGAAAACAATCTGAAAGACATCTTCAACAAAACTGATCCAAATGACCTTTTAGAATTTCTAAAAGCAACAAAATCATATAACAAAATATAGCTGGAAAAGAAGATAGCATATAATCATCATGTACTAAATCACAACACCTCTACCTATATCTTGGAAACAATAAACTCACAAAAGATCAACAAGCTGTAAGCAAAAACCAAACAAATTCTTCAACATTAAATAACCCAAAAGGGTTGATATCGCTGGTAAAATAAACAACTAAACTAAAAGAGTGAAAACGGGTTTTCACATGTTAGAAAAAGATTCCTTTCAGCTTTTCAGATTCATTAGGAGATTTTAGAAGAACAATATTCAGCAAGTTATTTCTCGCAGACCATCTGATGGTATATTGCTTTTCACCCGCACTGGATGTCGTTACGTTATAGATTTATGTCAGACTAATCTTTTATGCGGACAGAGTTTTTCAATGACTTTTGAGATATTTTTAACAGCAGAAAAATCATGCAAAAAAGTAAAAAAGTGTGAAATAAATCTTAAAGATATAGTCGAAAGGAAAAAAAAACCGAATCAAAGTGGTATTGAGACTGGCCATCATATATTAGAAAAAGGGTCCTTGCATCTAGTAGCGTTTCTAGAAGACCGATTGGACTTCTTCTGTTGTTGTAATCAAAGATGTCGTCTTGTCTTGAGCGGCAGCGCTCCATTCTTTTCGTTGGATATTTTTCGACTGTAGGGCCAGCCACATTCGTTCTCTTATATCTCCAGTACCATATTATTTTAGATCATTTCATCCCAAACAAGAAACCTCTAAGATGCAAGTTGTTTTTGAATGTGAAAGAAACTGGGGAAACTGTGTTGAAGAGAATGGAAAATAAAGAGGAACAAGATTCAAAGAGACGGATGACAACTGACGTTGGATTTAAGCTTTTAAAGTTTGTAGTTGATAGAAAAGCCAAAAACTTGAAGAGAGCTTCATAGGCGGAAAGTGCAAGAGAAGAAACTATTAGATCATATCTTACGGTTAGACTTAGAAATTTCAACAGTAAAAGGATGACACTTAGATGTCAATCTAGTACTAGGCTTAAACTCATGAAGCATCAACAAAGTTCCATAAACGGAATTTTGCTTGATTTCGAATTTCCAATGAGTTATTTTGGACGAGCTTCTTTGATATTTCTAAAGTTTTTATTTTCTATAAAAATGAATCCACTCCGCAAAAGACGGTGGAATGCGAAAGAACATATTCTTAGATAGAAAATATATCAATGCGAGTGAAAATGGCCACATCTAAAACAAGAAGCGAAATGTACTTATAAACCAGTGTGATACAAGTCCACAATAATGAGGTCTCTTTCAGTACCTACAAACTCGCTAGAAGTAGTTTGCTAACTATTTGAACAGCTTCGGCAACGGTTACACATATCTAACTATACATAGTGGTATTGTAAAATATGTGAACTAGACTCCTGGAGAAGTGTGATGGTTAGTTGACTAATCCCACAGACATTTAGCCGTGCGTTTTCTTTTTATTGGCCCACTAATTTATTTCCTTGTGCATGACTTTATAATCACGGGGTGGTAACGAAAAATTCCCATACTCTACGTCTAATGATTGCATTGTTCAACAGAAACGAAGATGAAGCTAACAATCACCGGTACCAAACATAATGAGTCACTTGTGCTATCTACTCGAGATTTTTTAACGTTGTTGTGGAACGGTTCTGTGATCTTTGCAATAGCTGAAAAATTTGAGTAAAATGAATGCAATAAGATTTTCTGTGAAATATCAATATTCTTTTGACGAATATTCTTTTATTTTTTTTCTTACTAAAACGTGTATTTCAAGACTTGTAAAAATAGTATTTGCCAAAGGAACAATCCATTCAATTTGAGTTCAGTATTTTTTTTCTTTTTCAAATTTGAAATGTCAGTTGATTACTGTCATTCATAACATATATTTCGGGTTTTGCATCTTCAACACATTAATGCATACTTCTGGAAATCGAAAAATAAAACAAAATTCCTCACCTTAACTAAATTTCATTTAAAATAAACGGTTGAATTTTATCGTGGAGAAGGAATTAAAACAATACATTATTATTTTTTAAATTTTTTTTTTATTATTCAGTATTTTGATACTACAGATAAACGTCTCAAACTCCGGAAAACACTGACAGTCGATTAAGTTTCCAAAAATCACGACTGTGATTTATCGATTACTGATAATATTACATGGGTTATCGCTTAATCGATCAGAATAATACACATTAAACTGCTGACATTTAACTTTAAGCTTTGTTCGTAACCATCCAGGGAAAAAACTCGAAGTAGAAATGCGCAATACACCTGAGGCTTTAGATTTGGTAAAAAGTTCAACTGTGGCTAGGAAAGAATCTGCTACCAAAGAACGAGTCAAGTTACGTATTTTACATTTATATATGTTATTTAATATTTATTATACGAAATTCCAAAAGGACCAAAACGAAGATAAAGTGGCGATAACTAGAATAGTTAACCTGATACCAAAAATTTAAAAAAAATCGTTTAGGTCCAAGATGTTAATATCCCACCTCATAAAGAGACACGAGTTCCAACTCTCAGTCAACAATAACATTGTAACTGGTCTTAGTAATGGAGACCAAATCCTTCACTGTATCGCCCTCTATTGATAGAAAATTATGCCTTTGTCCTTAAAAGATATCTGCCAAATATTAGTCTTGTTCTATCTATTTTTGATGTCCAAAACGACCACAAGTCCGTAGTTAAATAGGTAAAAGATGTCTTGTTAATTTTAATGCCTCCCAAACCAAAATTCTTAATTTTCTGAGAGACCCCTTGCTGCTTTTTATCAGCATGGCTGTGCTATCCTCCAAGAAAGTCACTCATGGCGTCTTCTCGGGTTCACGTTCTCCGGTGGTATGAAGTGGAAAGCCTATATTGAATCCTTTGCTAGGTCAGCTGCTAAGTCTGTTCACTCTGTTAGGAGAGACAAGTTTTTCTCTCCATAATATATCTTAGATCTCTATAGATCTACCATTCGTCCATACTTAGACTATTGCTGCCGCATATGGTCCTGTACCCTTGCTATTTACGTTGAGATACTTGATAAGATTCAAAGAAGAATCTGCAATATTAGTGGTCCTGATCTGACGGCTCAGCTCCAGTCACCGCCGTAAGGTTGTCTCTCTATTTCTTTTCTATAAATACTTTCATGGTAATAGTTCGAATGAGCTTTTCGCTTTGCTAGCTAGAGTTTTTTTTTTAAGTGAAGCTAAATGCTAGACTGGCGTCGAGATCTCATCAATTTACAATTGAGCTGGCTACATGTAGCAGTAAATTCTATACTAAGAGTTTCTCCTCTCGCACTTTCTCTTGTAGAACTCCCGTCAGGTTTCATGTATTCCAGCCAACCTTAATCTGCAAAAGTTTAAATGCAATTTCAATCGCTATCTCTTTCTGTCCATTAATGTTTCTGTTCATGATTATACCACATCCTGTAACCCCTTGTGTTTTAGTAGAATTACTGCTTTTTTTTCGTATATATATATATATATATATATATATATATATATATATATATATAAGTGTACATTGAAGTCAACTACCAGAGGCGACAGTTTGTTTCCTGCTAAATGCAGACAAAATTTTTTTTTGTGGGGGGGTTGTTGACTTCAGTGTCCACTTTATATTAACATACGATCTATCCCTGAAACTAAGCACTTTAATACATAAATATAGCGTACATTAAAACTATATTTTATCATTTTATCATACATATTTTATAGGGGACATATTTTCAGTCAATTAATTTATAATATTAATGCTCTGTAAATTTACATTGAGCACTATTTTGTAAAAATAAAATATCTATAAGAACACCGGATTATATATCTTACTGTTCTTTTCTTTTTATTTATGCACACACACACACATATATATATATATATATATATATATATATATATATATATATATATATATATATTGAATGGATGGATGAGTTTGTGACCCTGGGTTTCA